AGTGTGTCACAAGGACCATGGCCACCACTGTGTCACAAGGACCAGGGCCACCAGTGTCACAAGGAGCATGGCCACCAGTGTGTCACAAGGAGCATGACCACCATTGTGTGTCACAAGGAGCATGGCCACCACTGTGTGTCACAAGGAGCATGACCACCAGTGTGTGTCACAAGGAGCATGGCCACCATTGTGTGTCACAAGGAACATGGCCACCACTGTGTCACAAGGAGCATGGCCACCATTGTGTGTCACAAGGAGCATGGCCACCAGTGTGTCACAAGGAGCATGGCCACCACTGTGTCACAAGGAGCATGGCCACCATTGTGTGTCACAAGGAGCATGGCCACCATTGTGTGTCACAAGGAACATGGCCACCACTGTGTCACAAGGAGCATGGCCACCAGTGTGTGTCACAAGGAGCATGGCCACCATTGTGTGTCAAGGAGCATGGCCACCATTGTGTGTCACAAGGAGCATGGCCACCATTGTGTGTCACAAGGAGCATGGCCACCATTGTGTGTCACAAGGAGCGTGGCCACCAGTGTGTGTCACAAGGAGCGTGGCCACCATTGTGTGTCACAAGGAGCATGACCACCAGTGTGTGTCACAAGGAGCATGACCACCAGTGTGTGTCACAAGGAGCATGGCCACCAGTGTGTGTCACAAGGAGCATGGCCACCATTGTGTGTCACAAGGAGCATGGCCACCACTGTGTCACAAGGAGCGTGGCCACCAGTGTGTCACAAGGAGCGTGGCCACCAGTGTGTCACAAGGAGCGTTGCCACCAGTGTGTCACAAGGAGCATGGCCACCATTGTGTGTCACAAGGAGCATGACCACCAGTGTGTGTCACAAGGACCATGGCCACCAGTGTGTCACAAGGACCATGGCCACCACTGTGCCACAAGGAGCATGGCCACCAGTGTGTCACAAGGACCATGGCCACCAGTGTGTCACAAGGACCATGGCCACCACTGTGTCACAAGGACCAGGGCCACCAGTGTGTCACAAGGACCATGGCCACCAGTGTGTCACAAGGAGCATGGCCACCAGTGTGTCACAAGGAGCATGGCCACCAGTGTGTGTCACAAGGACCATGGCCACCACTGTGTCACAAGGACCATGGCCACCACTGTGTCACAAGGAGCATGGCCACCATTGTGTGTCACAAGGAGCATGGCCACCAGTGTGTCACAAGGAGCATGGCCACCATTGTGTGTCACAAGGAGCATGGCCACCAGTGTGTGTCACAAGGACCATGGCCACCACTGTGTGTCACAAGGACCATGGCCACCACTGTGTCACAAGGAGCATGGCCACCATTGTGTGTCACAAGGAGCATGGCCACCAGTGTGTCACAAGGAGCATGGCCACCACTGTGTCACAAGGAGCATGGCCACCATTGTGTGTCACAAGGACCATGGCCACCACTGTGTGTCACAAGGACCATGGCCACCACTGTGTGTCACAAGGACCATGGCCACCACTGTGTGTCACAAGGAGCATGGCCACCATTGTGTGTCACAAGGAGCATGGCCACCATTGTGTGTCACAAGGAACATGGCCACCACTGTGTCACAAGGAGCATGGCCACCATTGTGTGTCACAAGGAGCATGGCCACCAGTGTGTCACAAGGAGCATGGCCACCACTGTGTCACAAGGAGCATGGCCACCATTGTGTGTCACAAGGAGCATGGCCACCATTGTGTGTCACAAGGAACATGGCCACCACTGTGTCACAAGGAGCATGGCCACCAGTGTGTGTCACAAGGAGCATGGCCACCATTGTGTGTCAAGGAGCATGGCCACCATTGTGTGTCACAAGGAGCATGGCCACCATTGTGTGTCACAAGGAGCATGGCCACCAGTGTGTGTCACAAGGAGCGTGGCCACCATTGTGTGTCACAAGGAGCATGACCACCACTGTGTGTCACAAGGAGCATGACCACCAGTGTGTGTCACAAGGAGCATGACCACCAGTGTGTGTCACAAGGAGCATGGCCACCAGTGTGTCACAAGGAGCATGGCCACCATTGTGTGTCACAAGGAGCATGGCCACCACTGTGTCACAAGGAGCGTGGCCACCAGTGTGTCACAAGGAGCGTGGCCACCAGTGTGTCACAAGGAGCGTTGCCACCAGTGTGTCACAAGGAGCATGGCCACCATTGTGTGTCACAAGGAGCATGACCACCAGTGTGTGTCACAAGGACCATGGCCACCAGTGTGTCACAAGGACCATGGCCACCACTGTGTCACAAGGAGCATGGCCACCAGTGTGTCACAAGGACCATGGCCACCAGTGTGTCACAAGGACCATGGCCACCACTGTGTCACAAGGACCAGGGCCACCACTGTGTCACAAGGAGCATGGCCACCAGTGTGTCACAAGGAGCATGACCACACAAGGAGCATGGCCACCATTGTGTGTCACAAGGAACATGGCCACCACTGTGTCACAAGGAGCATGGCCACCATTGTGTGTCACAAGGAGCATGGCCACCAGTGTGTCACAAGGAGCATGGCCACCACTGTGTCACAAGGAGCATGGCCACCATTGTGTGTCACAAGGAGCATGGCCACCATTGTGTGTCACAAGGAACATGGCCACCACTGTGTCACAAGGAGCATGGCCACCACTGTGTCACAAGGAGCATGGCCACCATTGTGTGTCAAGGAGCATGGCCACCATTGTGTGTCACAAGGAGCATGGCCACCATTGTGTGTCACAAGGAGCATGGCCACCATTGTGTGTCACAAGGAGCGTGGCCACCAGTGTGTGTCACAAGGAGCGTGGCCACCATTGTGTGTCACAAGGAGCATGACCACCACTGTGTGTCACAAGGAGCATGACCACCAGGTGTGTCACAAGGAGCATGGCCACCATTGTGTGTCACAAGGAGCATGGCCACCAGTGTGTCACAAGGAGCATGGCCACCAGTGTGTCGCAAGGAGCATGGCCACCAGTGTGTCGCAAGGAGCATGGCCACCAGTGTGTCGCAAGGAGCATGGCCACCAGTGTGTCACAAGGACCATGGCCACCAGTGTGTCACAAGGACCATGGCCACCAGTGTGTCACAAGGACCATGGCCACCAGTGTGTCACAAGGACCATGGCCACCAGTGTGTCACAAGGACCATGGCCACCAGTGTGTCACAAGGACCATGGCCACCAGTGTGTCACAAGGACCATGGCCACCAGTGTGTCACAAGGACCATGGCCACCAGTGTGTCACAAGGACCATGGCCACCAGTGTGTCACAAGGACCATGGCCACCAGTGTGTCACAAGGACCATGGCCACCAGTGTGTCACAAGGACCATGGCCACCAGTGTGTCACAAGGACCATGGCCACCAGTGTGTCACAAGGACCATGGCCACCAGTGTGTCACAAGGACCATGGCCACCAGTGTGTCACAAGGACCATGGCCACCAGTGTGTCACAAGGACCATGGCCACCAGTGTGTCACAAGGACCATGGCCACCAGTGTGTCACAAGGACCATGGCCACCAGTGTGTCACAAGGACCATGGCCACCAGTGTGTCACAAGGACCATGGCCACCAGTGTGTCACAAGGACCATGGCCACCAGTGTGTCACAAGGACCATGGCCACCAGTGTGTCTCAAGGACCATGGCCACCAGTGTGTCACAAGGAGCATGGCCACCAGTGTGTCACAAGGACCATGGCCACCAGTGTGTCACAAGGACCATGGCCACCAGTGTGTCACAAGGACCATGGCCACCAGTGTGTCACAAGGAGCATGGCCACCAGTGTGTCACAAGGACCATGGCCACCAGTGTGTCACAAGGACCATGGTCACCAGTGTGTCACAAGGACCATGGCCACCAGTGTGTCACAAGGACCATGGCCACCAGTGTGTCACAAGGACCATGGCCACCAGTGTGTCACAAGGACCATGGTCACCAGTGTGTCACAAGGACCATGGCCACCAGTGTGTCACAAGGACCATGGTCACCAGTGTGTCACAAGGACCATGGCCACCAGTGTGTCACAAGGAGCATGGCCACCAGTGTGTCACAAGGACCATGGCCACCAGTGTGTCACAAGGACCATGGTCACCAGTGTGTCACAAGGACCATGGCCACCAGTGTGTCACAAGGACCATGGCCACCAGTGTGTCACAAGGACCATGGCCACCAGTGTGTCACAAGGACCATGGCCACCAGTGTAAAGCATCAATATCAAAAGAGCTTCAAAGGACTGAAGGTGATCCCTGGCAGCTTATAAACAGTTACAAAACAGCTTAAAGATAGTTTACAGTAGCCTAAAGACAGCTTCAAGGAAGCTTAAAGACAGCTTCAAATGCAGAATAGAACCAGTGGAGAGCAGTGATGCCATAGGCACAATCAGAGAACACTGTATAAACATCAGAGGTCCGCGGTTGTTCAACGTCCTCCCAGCAAGCATAAGAAATATTGCCGGAACAACAGTGGTCATCTTCAAGAGGAAACGGGACTGTTTTCTTCAAGGAGTGCCGGACCAACCGGGCTGTGGTGGGTATGTGGGCCTGCGGGCCGCTCCAAGCAACAGTCTGGTGAACCAGGCTGGGCTTGAGGAGTACAACAACTCCCGAGACCCTGTCCAGGTAAGGTCTAGGTAAGGCAGCCTTACCACCTGGAGTCGAGACCAACTTCAGGGGGACATAAACGTTGAAAAATCAATCCTATAATGCTCCCATTAATAATAATAATAATAATAAAAATAATAAAAGTAATAATTTTGCTCTTTAAAGCGACGTAAGTAAAGAATACTCCAATAAACCAATTTATTAGCCCATGGCCAGACACCGTGGAAATGTTTATCGTTTAGTGGTGAGGCGACTCAAGGCGTCTCCGACCAAAGGAGGTTGTAAAGGCAATATGGGCCTGCAGGCTGCAGGCAACAATAGCCTGGATGATCAGGCACTCATCAAAGGCCACCAATATATGATTAGGAAACAAGTTTCATTGCCGGAGCCAAGTAAGGCAGAAAGCCTGCGGGTCATTTGTCAAGTCTTAAGGCGCCACACCCAGCCGGACCCTTAACAGTACCAGCCGGACCCTTAACAATACCAGCCGGACCATTAATACCAGCCGGACCCTTAACACTACCAGCCAGACCCTTAACACTACCAGCCGGACCCTTAACACTACCAGCCGGACCCTTAACACTACCAGCCAGACCCTTAACACTACCAGCCGGACCCTTAACACTACCAGCCGGACCCTTAACAATACCAGCCGGACCCTTAACAATACCAGCCAGACCCTTAACAATACCAGCCAGACCCTTAACAATACCAGCCAGACCCTTAACAATACCAGCCAGACCCTTAACAATACCAGCCAGACCCTTAACAATACCAGCCGGACCCTTAACACTACCAGCCAGACCGTTAACAATACCAGTCGGACCCTTAACAATACCAGCCGGACCCTTAACAATACCAGCCGGACCCTTAACACTACCAGCCGGACCCTTAACACTACCAGCCAGACCCTTAACACTACCAGCCGGACCCTTAACAATACCAGCCGGACCCATAACAATACCAGCCGGACCCATAACACTACCAGCCGGACCCTTAACACTACCAGCCAGACCGTTAACACTACCAGCCAGACCCTTAACACTACCAGCCGGACCCTTAACACTACCAGCCGGACCCTTAACAATACCAGCCGGACCCTTAACACTACCAGCCGGACCCTTAACACTACCAGCCAGACCCTTAACACTACCAGCCACACCCTTAACACTACCAGCCGGACCCTTAACACTACCAGCCGGACCCTTAACACTACCAGCCAGACCCTTAACACTACCAGCCGGACCCTACCAGCCGGACCCTTAACACTACCAGCCAGACCCATAACAATACTAGCCGGACCCTTAACAATACCAGCCGGACCCTTAACAATACCAGCCGGACCCTTAACAATACCAGCCAGACCCTTAACAGTACCAGCCGGACCCTTAACACTACCAGCCAGACCCATAACAATACTAGCCGGACCCTTAACAATACCAGCCAGACCCTTAACACTACCAGCCGGACCCTTAACACTACCAGCCAGACCGTTAACACTACCAGCCAGACCCTTAACAATACCAGCCGGACCCTTAACAATACCAGCCAGACCCTTAACAATACCAGCCAGACTCTTAATAATACCAGCCGGACCCTTAACACTACCAGCCAGACCCATAACAATACCAGCCAGACCCATAACAATACCAGCCGGACCCATAACAATACCAGATGGACCCTTAACACTACCAGCCGGACCCTTAACACTACCAGCCAGACCCATAACAATACCAGCCGGACCCTTAACAATACCAGCCAGACCCTTAACAGTACCAGCCAGACCCATAACAATACCAGCCGGACCCTTAACAATACCAGCCAGACCCTTAACAGTACCAGCCAGACCCATAACAATACCAGCCGGACCCTTAACACTACCAGCCAGACCCTTAACAGTACCAGCCGGACCCTTAACAATACCAGCCGGACCCTTAACACTACCAGCCGGACCCTTAACAATACCAGCCGGACCCTTAACAATACCAGCCGGACCCTTAACACTACCAGCCGGACCCTTAACAATACCAGCCGGACCCTTAACACTACCAGCCGGACCCATAACAATACCAGCCGGACCCTTAACCGAGGCTGTCAAAATCGTTTGCAACAGTCAGATCAATCTCTTGAACCTTCAACCTGGCTGGGGATTGATCTAAGACGGTTCTCAATCATCTTTATGTTCATATAATTCAACATTTTAATGAATTTTAAATAAACAAAATTTAGAAATTCAGATACAAATAATTTGGCCTTCCAGTAAATTGTTATTAAGTGATAGATTGATCTTCATGATTATCCACAGAGCCGTTCAGGCGCTGGAGCGATAACGAACTTACTCACACTACCAGACCCAGAGTCACACTACCAGACCCAGAGTCACACTACCAGACCCAGAGTCACACTACCAGACCCAGAGTCACACTACCAGACCCAGAGAGTCACACTACCAGACCCAGAGAGTCACACTACCAGACCCAGAGAGTCACACTACCAGACCCAGAGAGTCACACTACCAGACCCAGAGAGTCACACTACCAGACCCAGAGAGTCACACTACCAGACCCAGAGTCACACTACCAGACCCAGAGAGTCACACTACCAGACCCAGAGAGTCACACTACCAGACCCAGAGAGTCACACTACCAGACCCAGAGTCACACTACCAGACCCAGAGTCACACTACCAGACCCAGAGTCACACTACCAGACCCAGAGAGTCACACTACCAGACCCAGAGTGTCACACTACCAGACCCAGAGTGTCACACTACCAGACCCAGAGTCACACTACCAGACCCAGAGTCACACTACCAGACCCAGAGTCACACTACCAGACCCAGAGTCACACTACCAGACCCAGAGTCACACTACCAGACCCAGAGTGTCACACTACCAGACCCAGAGAGTCACACTACCAGACCCAGAGTGTCACACTACCAGACCCAGAGTGCCACACTACCAGACCCAGAGTGCCACACTACCAGACCCAAAGTCACACTACCAGACCCAAGGTCACACTACCAGACCCAGAGTGTCACACTACCAGACCCAGAGTGTCACACTACCAGACCCAGAGTGTCACACTACCAGACCCAGAGTGCCACACTACCAGACCCAGAGTGCCACACTACCAGACCCAGAGAGTCACACTACCAGACCCAGAGAGTCACACTACCAGACCCAGAGAGTCACACTACCAGACCCAGAGAGTCACACTACCAGACCCAGAGAGTCACACTACCAGACCCAGAGAGTCACACTACCAGACCCAGAGAGTCACACTACCAGACCCAGAGAGTCACACTACCAGACCCAGAGTGCCACACTACCAGACCCAGAGTGTCACACTACCAGACCCAGAGTGTCACACTACCAGACCCAGAGTGTCACACTACCAGACCCAGAGTGTCACACTACCAGACCCAGAGTCACACTACCAGACCCAGAGTGTCACACTACCAGACCCAGAGTGTCACACTACCAGACCCAGAGTGTCACACTACCAGACCCAGAGTGTCACACTACCAGACCCAGAGTGTCACACTACCAGACCCAGAGTGTCACACTACCAGACCCAGAGTGTCACACTACCAGACCCAGAGTGTCACACTACCAGACCCAGAGTGTCACACTACCAGACCCAGAGTGTCACACTACCAGACCCAGAGTGTCACACTACCAGACCCAGAGTGTCACACTACCAGACCCAGAGTGTCACACTACCAGACCCAGAGTGTCACACTACCAGACCCAGAGTGTCACACTACCGGACCCAGAGTGTCACACTACCAGACCCAGAGTGTCACACTACCAGACCCAGAGTGTCACACTACCAGACCCAGAGTGTCATACTACCAGACCCAGAGTGTCATACTACCAGACCCAGAGTGTCATACTACCAGACCCAGAGTGTCACACTACCAGACCCAGAGTGTCACACTACCAGACCCAGAGAGTCACACTACCAGACCCAGAGTGTCACACTACCAGACCCAGAGTCACGCTACCAGACCCAGAGTCACACTACCAGACCCAGAGTCACACTACCAGACCCAGAGTGTCACACTACCAGACCCAGAGTGTCACACTACCAGACCCAGAGTGTCACACTACCAGACCCAGAGTGTCACACTACCAGACCCAGAGTCACACTACCAGACCCAGAGTGTCACACTACCAGACCCAGAGTGTCACACTACCAGACCCAGAGTGTCACACTACCAGACCCAGAGTGTCACACTACCAGACCCAGAGTGTCACGCTACCAGACCCAGAGTGCCACACTACCAGACCCAGAGTGCCACACTACCAGACCCAGAGTGCCACACTACCAGACCCAGAGTGCCACACTACCAGACACAGAGTGCCACACTACCAGACCCAGAGTCACACTACCAGACCCAGAGTGTCACACTACCAGACCCAGAGTGTCACACTACCAGACCCAGAGTGCCACACTACCAGACCCAGAGTGCCACACTACCAGACCCAAAGTGTCACACTACCAGACCCAGAGTCACACTACCAGACCCAGAGTGTCACACTACCAGACCCAGAGTGCCACACTACCAGACCCAGAGTGTCACACTACCAGACCCAGAGTGCCACACTACCAGACCCAGAGTGTCACACTACCAGACCCAGAGTGTCACACTACCAGACCCAGAGTGCCACACTACCAGACCCAGAGTGTCACACTACCAAACCCAGAGTGTCACACTACCAGACCCAGAGTGTCATACTACCAGACCCAGAGTGTCACACTACCAGACCCAGAGTGTCACACTACCAGACCCAGAGAGTCACACTACCAGACCCAGAGTGTCACACTACCAGACCCAGAGTCACGCTACCAGACCCAGAGTCACACTACCAGACCCAGAGTGTCACACTACCAGACCCAGAGTGTCACACTACCAGACCCAGAGTGTCACACTACCAGACCCAGAGTGTCACACTACCAGACCCAGAGTGTCACACTACCAGACCCAGAGAGTCACACTACCAGACCCAGAGAGTCACACTACCAGACCCAGAGTGTCACACTACCAGACCCAGAGTGTCACACTACCAGACCCAGAGTGCCACACTACCAGACCCAGAGTGCCACACTACCAGACCCAGAGTGCCACACTACCAGACCCAGAGTGCCACACTACCAGACCCAGAGTGTCACACTACCAGACCCAGAGTCACACTACCAGACCCAGAGTCACACTACCAGACCCAGAGTGTCACACTACCAGACCCAGAGTGTCACACTACCAGACCCAGAGTGCCACACTACCAGACCCAGAGTGCCACACTACCAGACCCAAAGTCACACTACCAGACCCAGAGTGTCACACTACCAGACCCAGAGTGTCACACTACCAGACCCAGAGTGTCACACTACCAGACCCAGAGTGTCACACTACCAGACCCAGAGTGTCACACTACCAGACCCAGAGTGTCACACTACCAGACCCAGAGTGTCACACTACCAGACCCAGAGTGTCACATTACCAGACCCAGAGTGCCACACTACCAGACCCAGAGTGCCACACTACCAGACCCAGAGAGTCACACTACCAGACCCAGAGTGCCACACTACCAGACCCAGAGTGTCACACTACCAGACCCAGAGTGTCACACTACCAGACCCAGAGTGTCACACTACCAGACCCAGAGTGTCACACTACCAGACCCAGAGTGTCACACTACCAGACCCAGAGTCACACTACCAGACCCAGAGTGCCACACTACCAGACCCAGAGTGTCACACTACCAGACCCAGAGTCACACTACCAGACTCACACTCGCCGACCAAGAGCAACCCCAGCAGACCCACAGGCTACCTACTAATTGTCTATCCGTTGATCATTTCGGGTATCAATGTCCTTGCGACCCGGTCTCTTACAGGCCCCTTGATGGGTGGTTTAGTCAACCAGACTGTTAGACGCAGCTGCTGGCAGTTTATCATACAAGTCACAGCCTGGTTGATCAGCTATCCTTAGGTGTTTATAAAGTTCTCTTTTGAACACCGTGAGAGGCAGGCCAGTTATGCCCTTAAGGGTAGAGCGAGTGTCTTGGACCTCTACCTGGATTATACCTGAATAGGGTTCTGGGAGCAGACTAGTGAAGCTTCATGAGTGGGCTTCATGACTTGTGAAGCCTCTGATGTCCATAGCTCTCAGAGTACCTGTTGCACCTCTGCTCTTCAACGGGGGTATTCTGCACATCCTGCCATGCCTCCTGGTCTCATGTGGTGTTATTTCTGTGTACAGGATTGGAACCAGTCACGCTAATACTTTACAAGTGTAAAATATTATGAATGTCTCTCGCCTGAAAGATCCTGATGTAATATAGACTGATTTCCCCGAAAGCTTTCGACGAATGTGACCATGGTGTAAAATCTTCAGCGAGTTTAGGGGTTTACTGAAAACAGAATTTTACTGTAGGAAGCCTGGTCGACGACCGGGCCGCGGGGTCGCTGAGCCCCGAAATCCCCTCAAGGTAACCTCACCTCAAGGAAGCCTCAGTATTTCACAGATTTTGTGTCACCTGTGAAACTTTCATCCCCCTTGGACGGAGCCCTTATATTAAATGTAGTTTTTCTAGATTTTGCGTCGAAAAAAAAAAATATTTCGGATTCCTCTTTATTTCATTGATAGCCTATTGTTCACTGGTCCTCTCCAGGATTTTATGCGATTCTTGTATCTTTAGGTCAATCTTTACCGTTCCTCTACATAGTCATCCTTGTTCTTGGGATAGGCTTGGGCCTTCTTGGGATAGGCTAGGGCCTTCTTGGGATAGGCTAGGGCCTTCTTGGGGTAGGCTAGGGCCTTCTTGGGATATAGTGGGGGCCTTCTTGGGATAGGCTAGGGCCTTCTTGGGATAGGATGTGGCCTTCTTGGGTTGGAATGCAAACCTGAACCAGTGCCTGAACAAAATAAGCTCAGTAGCACTAGAAATATGTTCAAACCGCATACCGCTAAGTCAAAAGAGGAAGAGATGCAGATTGGAGCGGGAACGTCGTTCCCTCTATAGGCGAAGAAAACGAATCGCGGAACAACTTGAGA